AGAGAGAGAGAGAGAGAGAGAGAGAGAGAGAGAGAGAGAGAGAGAGAGAGAGAGAGAGAGAGAGAGAGAGAGAAGTAAATTGGAATGGGTATAATGAATAGATTCAAGTGTATAGCCGGAAGTCATACGCTTTCGGACGACGAGGGTGGCGACCATGGGCAGAAGGCGAGAGGCGTGAAGGGACGGTCTAAGGGGGGCAGTGGCACACCGCTCCAGCCGCCCGTTATTAACCTGCCTTCAAGCGACAGCACCCCAACCCCCGTTCCTCCTCCCCTCCCATCGTCCCAACCCCTCTCCCGCCCAGACGCGAAGAGAAGCACGGACGTCTCCAAGCCTGTTATGGGCATAGATCTGGGCACATCCTTCTGCTGCGTCGCGATTTATCGTGACTTTGATACCATCGAGGTAGTCCCGAACGATTTGGGCTTTCGAATCACGCCCTCTGCTGTTGCGTTCGTCGGGGAGGAGTGTCTGGTGGGCGAGTCAGCGAAGAGACACGGCAGAGGTCATCCCAAGCAGTGCATCTTTGAAGTCAAGCGGCTCATGGGTCGGTCATTTCTAGACGAGCACGTGCAGCAGGACGCCAAAGTGTGGCCTTTTCGTGTGGTCCCGGGCCCACGGAACGAGGCACTTGTGGAGGTCCAAGTGTCGGAGGGCAAACCTGATGTCCCAGAGTCCCGAGTCCCAACGAGAACCTTTCGACCAGAGGAGATCTCAGCCATCCTTCTGAAGGAAATGAGGAGGATAGCAGAGACCTACGCTGGGGGGGAGACCATCACCGATGCAGTGATCACCGTGCCAGCGTACTTCAACGATGCTCAAAGACAGGCCACGAGGGATGCAGGCACCAGAGCGGGACTTAACGTCCTGAGGCTGATGAATGAGCCCACAGCTGCCGCTTTGGCTTATGGCCGCTTGAGGGAGATGGGAAGGGGCGGGGGGTGTGTAGGGAAGAAGATCATGGTGTTCGATCTTGGCGGGGGCACCTTCGACGTGTCGATCATCACGATCACAGCGGGAGCGGACGAAGAGTCCAGCTTTCTCGTCAATGCTGTGGCTGGGGATGGGCATTTAGGGGGGGCGGACTTCGACGGGCGATTGCTGGCCCATGTGCTGGAACAGCTCAGGAAGCAATACGGGACCGACTTCTCGGTGTCGAGCAATCCTAACGTGATGACGAGGCTGAAGGCAGCAGTGGTGGAGGCAAAACACGCGTTGTCTGGACGTACCGAGACGGAAATCGAGCTAGATTACGGCGAAACGACCCTCAGCGTGAGAGTGGGCCGAGCGGCTTTCGAAGATATGAACGGCGATCACTTCGACAACTGCAAGAGGATCATGGACGAAGCAGTCAGCGCAGCTGGGGTGAAGAGAGCAGACATTGCGGAGGTGATTCTTGTGGGAGGATCTACCCGAATTCCAAGGGTGCAGGAGCTGGTGACGCAGTATTTCGGTAGAAAACCCCTCCAGAACGTTCATCCCGACGAGGCAGTGGCGTATGGGGCCGCTCTTCAAGCGGGATTGATGGCTAGCGGGTGCTTTAAGTGTGACGAAGCCACCCCAGATCACGCTGGCGGGGGGAAGGGGACTATTTCTGTGCGAGATGTGACCCCTTTAAGCATCGGAACGGACTTTGAGCTGCAGGAAATGGGGGTGCTTATCCCCCGCAACACCCCCCTTCCAGCAAAGGGGTCAATGGACTTCGCTTGCGTGTACGACTACCAGAGCACGATGAGCTTTGCGCTGTTTGAGGGAGAGAGAGCTCTGTGCGGAGATAACCGGTTCCTTGGCCTTTTCACACTGCAGGGTTTCACTGGTCTTCCCGCCAACGGCAAGCCTGTAACTAGACTGCTTGTCCGGATAGATGAGGACGGGATCCTCCATGCCACCGCGGAGGCGACAGCCAATCACATCCAGCTTGGCAGGCAGGCGGGAGTGCAAGTCCGCACGGGCATCGGCGTGCTCAACAAGGAGGGGGCGCATGCGATTACCTCCATAGCTCAGGCTATGGCTACCATCACACCGGACATGAAACTGCGCGACGACGCTCTCAGGGCGGCATTCAAGGCTAGGAGAGAGCTCCAGCGACTCGCGTGGAGACTCAGAGACGAGAAGCAGCTCTCACGAAAGAGTGGGAGAAAGAAGGCGGCTATGGCGTCCCGCCTAGCCAACCAGGTATTGAACTGGATGCTTTCCGAGTCCAACGTGGCCCCTCGGGACGAATACGACAAACGGATCAGCGAGCTTAAGGCCTTGGATCGACGCTGATTAGTTCATTAGTAATTAGTCAACAAGGGATCCCGATGGCCGATGGCGATCCCGATGGCCGATGGCCGTTGGGGGGGGGTTGGGGTGGAGGATGTCAAAAGACTCAAAACAGGTTCACAGTTGAAACTCCT